ACAACCGTATGAAGGGAAGGTTACATAGCGCGCCTTTGTTCTCATCGTTCATAGCGTATGGATACCCCAGGCACTTCAACTTTAGGTGGGCAATCGGCGCCATGCGGCTATGACGATCATTCTCAAGTGTATAAATGTTAGAAACAACCACGTCCCTTCGAAAAGTGAATTCTAGTATCAACAACACGCCCTATCTTCCTGCCCTTTCCTCGAGCGTTCTGACAAAGTCCCAATATTCACTTGTAAATACCTTCACCGACGATGCTCTTCAACGCCGCCTCCATTCTCGCCCTTGCGACCTTGGCCTCGACCGCCGCTGTCCGCCGGGCTGATTACGGTTCCTGGGATTTCTCTGGATTCGTTTCCTTCCCCGCTAGCGGATATCTCTCTTACGGCGTCGACGCAACGTACACAAACAGCCAGCTCGCTGCACCGATTGAAGTGACATGCAGCTATCTCTACAACCCACAGACAAAGACCGAGATCGCGTCATGCTCTGACCCAAGCTTCACCTATGATTTCGGTGGCGTCCGTAAGTCACAACCTCAAACTACATTACTTGTAGATGGCGGAAAGGATTTTTTGCTGACAAGTGTGTTCTTAGGCATGGCCAACACCATCTCGACTGTGACTTTAACACAGACTGTTGAGCTGGACGGAAGCCCAGTCACCGTGACTGGCGCGCAAGAGTTTGATTGGGATTTCAGCGGTGGCTCTGGGCGTTCAGGAAGTGCCAAGGGACCCATTGCGGCTCAGACTGCCACCGCTTGAGGATCGAAAAGGAGATAACATTGAGGCACAGTACGCCACCTGTTATTTTCCAATGGAGTGCATAGATGGCAGCACGACTACCTCAATATCAGGGTAGCTCAATCATCAGATAAGAATCCACCTGGGAAGACAGGCCACTTTTGTGACTCTTTGTCTTGCCTAGAAGCTGAGGTTTTGTCTAGGGCCATATTGAAATGGGATATTTTTGGTTTCTTTGGTGATGATATTCAATATGTTTCAATGACAAGGATGCTAAGAGCATGTACCAGAAAGTTTTCTTTGTTTCGGCGGTGCTATTTTGCCACTATAACTATACATTTGCCGCCATTCATCTCATCAAAGCCATTGTTCTTGGCGTACCGAGCCGGCAAAGAGTGCCCGAAATCATCCTTTTCGAAGAGGATTTTCTGAATCTCGTCAACATGTACAACTATGTCTTGCGGCTCCTCTTCATCGCTTTCTTCTTCCGTGTTCCTCTGACTGTAGTGCATCCGATTGAAGACTCTGTCCATCTCGGCCCCAAGAACATCACCTCCCAGCTGGGTTTTGTTATTCCGGAGGTTGACGTGGACTTTGCGTAGACAGTACGCAAAGACGAAATCGTCATGCGGCGTGCAAGTCTTTACGTCCTTGATGGAAATGCTCAAACTGCCCTGTATGCCAGTCATGACCGCTCCGCCAGTCCCAGGGTCCGCGCCTAGTTTCACTGCACCGCCTTTCATCTTGCTCTCCCCATGCGAGATCTGGTGGGGACTCCTCGCGATCTTGATGCCCGTGACCATGTACAACACCTTCTTCCTGACGGTCAGCTTCTTGAAAAATGTCTCACTCGTGAGCAACTTTTGCACTGCTGCCGTCTGCACACTGGACTTGACGTAATCATGTTCCCTATCCGCTCCCAGGTCGAGAAATGTTGTCTCAAGCCGAGCTGCACTCCAAGATCGTGTGACATCGATCGATCTATTGATTGAACTCTCTGCAGAGGCTGCAGAGAGAAACTGACCAAAGACACCAATGTCGCCGATAGTTTCCATGGATCTTTCCTGGGACCAGTCGTTTTCAAAACGAACTTTAGCTGCATTTGCAGGGAACGGTCTGATCGGGGGCGCCAAAGGTCGGTGAGGTACAAGAGGGTCTTCGATGAGCTGGCCGAGTTGAATCTGGTCATCAGGCCTATATTGGGTATTGGGAATGATAAAGTATGCCTTGCGCTGGGCTATCTTCTTATTCGTCAACATCTTGGCGGACATGAGATTGGGACGATATGACTCTGTACGAAATTCAAAAGTAGGTAAGGTAAAGTATTAGGCAATGTTTTGCAGTGAAACCTGGATGGTGCTTCGGGACCTTCTTAGGATGTTGGCGCGTCACTTTATATTTCTTTGGCTTCTTGCCGTGTATGTGACAAACGTAGACGAAGAACCTACAGTACTTAGGCGCGCGCGTCGAGGACTCCTCAGAAGAGTATGTGTGCCCGCACCAACCCACGATTCTCAATCCGATCAGCGGGTCACTCAATCCACATGTTTCCCGTTATCTGCTTCGTTGTCGCACCCGGAGCTCACAGAAGAGAAGATTAAAGATAGCTCTTTGGCCCGGGTTGGGGCTACCGGACCTAAGGGATGATACTCACCTACGGTGCCGCCGATGTGACCTTGTGGGCGCGCTGGAATTCGTGGTGGCCACTGCACTCGGGCGGGGGTGGCAGGTTGCAAGTACCCTATTACCAAGGGAACAGAGCGCCTTGCAGCCGCGCGCTTGTGTGGACGGGTCCGGCCGCAAATACGCAACGGCAAAGGTATCCAACAGAAATTGTATCGAAGACGTCAATAAAATGGAGTGTACATAAACGCAAGTAAAATTAGCCTGGCAACTGAAATGCTGTTATATCAATAGCCGATTGGCCGATGAGCCAAAGCTTATGAGTTCTGGTTCTGGATGGGATTCGCCAGATTCTGCCTGACCAAGTGGCCGCTGTATCTGCTTTGATGTTCTGATATACTTAGGTAGTCCGCTAATTGCTAATTACGGCTCATGACACTGGCAATTCGTCCGGAGCTACATGGTCTTCATCAATCAGTTTACAGTAGGCATGTAGCCTTTCGCAATTAAATAAGAACTTGACGCTACACACATACGTTTCTTGAAATCGACTTAAACTGTCGTACCCCCGTGCAGATGACAAACGTTATATTTTGCTTTGGAAGCCAGAGCATCACGCAACAATCTTGTGAAGGAGAGATCTAAGGACCTTACTTTCAGGTACTTACGTCCAGGGCGAGTGTCAAGGGTGTTTCCAGTTGCTGTACGCAGTACCAACCGGGTAGTCAGTGCACATCAGCTGATAAACCCCTGGCTCTGGCGAGCCGACCATGCTAATTGGCAGAGTTGCAGTGTGATTGGCCTTTCAATGTTGTTGGTCGGGTCTGTCGGATGTTGACCACAGGTCCAACCAAAATGACGACCATTTGCCGTTTATCCTTTTCTTAAAATACAATTACGCGGATATCCAGAAGTCTGTCGTACGTCTGTGGTCCGAGCAATGTCTCGGCCATTGCATGGTCGGCTGGGACCCTGAATACTTTACGTGTGTAGCCGTCAAATCACTGCTTATCTTGCTTCTGTCGTTGATGTCGATGACATGTAGGCACAGTATAATAAGACGACAGTTTAGGGAAATTGTGGTTATGCCCACGCCTTTTCCAAGCAGCTCAAGTTGGGCACTTCGCCTAGTCGATTGCCGCCATTGCACGCATAAGCGTGTGAGCTAGCCCTTTACAGACTGTTCGAGATGCCTTATAAACCCAGTAATACCCTTTCCCCTTATCGGTGTTTCCCGTCTTCTGCGCTGCCAGTCCCCACGCAACAGGATGCAGCATATCAGGTCGTGCCCCTTCAGGCCGCAGTGGACGAACAACATGAGTAAAGAATGAGACTTTGTCCAGCTGATGACAACAGATACTGCTTTCGTATACTCTACTTTTTGAACGGAGTAGCAGGTTGACAAAATCTTTTTGCACTGCGGGCTATTTGACGCTACCTTCGTCTCTCTTATTCCGTTAATGTGTAATCTTTGGCAGTCTGGTATGTTTGGAGAAGCCGAGTGACTCTTAAGTGAGGTGACTCGTGGCTCTTGGCCACCCCGCCACACCTATCCCCCCACACTCTCCCCCTTTACGGCTCAATAGGGTTGTCTCCCTTTCTGGAATAATAATCAGAACTTTACTAGTAATCGTTCTATCCTCAGGATACAGGCTAGATTAATGTTTATCTTCCACATATCGACCCATTCTACACTAGTCTTACAGCACAAAATCTATATAAGTACTTTCTCTAATTGCTACTTTAGTACTTATATCCCTAAAGATGTTTCGAGTAGAGCTTGTTTGCTTTTTCCATGATGTGTCGGATCGAAGATTACGATGCCTTTCTGGTAGCATAATGATACTTGCGACAGGGCGCCACAGCCTGCCTTGAGAGGTTCTTGGCTGGGATAGTTTCTTTATGCTGCGAAGGCTCAGAACAACACTTCCAAGGCGAATGACTTCATTACTCTGCAGTCGTCGACGTGTGGTCTCTCGGCGTCGTCGTGTACGACCTGATCTATGGTCTTCTACAATACAAAGCTGAGAACTGATGGGATCGACAGTGATGTTTGACTCCTCAGAATTCATGAAAGATCTGAGAATGACTGCAAGAAACATCCAGATAAACTCGAACTCTTCATCTCACGGGCTATGTTGGTGGTCATGTCACCAAAACTTTCAGAATCGGCGCTGAATGCTATTGAAATCTAAATCGATTAAAGTCGTGATGATTAATCTCATCAAGGTTCATGTGGTAACAGTATGAGTATCTTGAAGACTCAGTTGCGCCTACGAATGGCCTTCATTATCTTATTGCAACGTTCACAAACACATTCAATCATATTCCCCGACCATGCCCCCAAAAAGCTCACACATGGACGGTGTAGACAAACTTGCATCATGACTCGGCTTCATTGGATTGATCGTGAGTGGTATACTCTAGTAGGATGACCACTTCAAGTTCACCATTCCTCATCTTTCCGCGGCACTTTCTCATAAATTGATTATCTTCTCCCCCAAAACTGTTTTCCCCATGACTGAAGCCGTTCAAACGGTTCTCATTATTTTCAGCGTGCCTTGGATTTCAACACAGTTCTTAGCTTCACAAAACTCCAAATCCCTCAGAGCTAGTGGGCCAATCTTTCATCGAGACTTCGGGGGCTCAATGGTCTCTCCAGGCTTGGTAGCCGAGATGGCGATGTACCTCCAGCGACCCTTGCCCCGGTAAGTCTCCACACCAGCGACGGTGTTGATGAAGTAGCGCTCAAGGCCGAACGCCTTGATGAAGATGTAAGGGATGATTCCAAGGAGGAAGAACAGACGGCACAGCGGGCGAATGTTCTCGGAGAAATCGCGAACCTCAACATCCACAAAGCCCGCTTCCTCCATGAGCTGCTTGAAAACGCCCGGATGTGACCGGTCGTTTGTCGGCATGGCGGCATACTCGTTGATTTTGCGCATGTTGTCGGCCATGACTTCCGGAGAATCCCCGATGAACTCATGGTCGTACTCAAAGTTGGCGAGATGGCCGCCGGGCTTAAGCAGTCGGAAGAAGCCCGCCAGGACAGTCTCCGGGTCCGTGGCGTGAACAAGAGTCTCCATAGTGTAGATGCCATCAAACGACTCGCTTGCCAGCGACTCTAAGTGGTGGTAATCCCTCCTGTTGACAGTCACCTGGTTCTCGAGACCAGCCTTCTTGATGGTCTTCCTCGCCCTCTCTACATGGCGCTGGACGACATCGAATGCCTCGATTCGGAGGCCATGCTTGCTGGCGAGGTGTTTTGCGACATGCCCATTTCCACAGCCAGCATCCAGCACCGTTGATCCTTTGGGCAAGTTCAGGACCTCGGCCATCTTGTCCTCCATGGCCCGCAGGCCGCGACCAAGGGGGAAGGGGAAGTAGGTGTCATTATCCCAGTAGCCGAAGTGCCGTGTTCCTCCCAGAACCAGACGATAGCCGATACGGGACTCCAGCGACGCGTAGTAGGATTGCAGCACCGGGTTAGAGTTGATGAGAGGGTCCGTCTCTGTGCTCGCGGTGGAGGATGCCATTATGGGTCCGATGCGACTTTGAACTGACGGGAAGATCAATCGCGGGGCTGGGTCTGATGGATTCCACAAATTTGTTTGCTGTAGATTTAGAATTATTCTCAGGGCAAGACGGAGGTTTTCAAACAAAAAATGAAGGCCGCAGAAACGAGGGAGAGGAAGAGATTCAGAACGCACAGCCTGATGGCGAAAAGGGACACGCAACGAGTGAGGATGGGAGGGCTGGACGACGGGCGGCTATCCGCGCCATGCGGCCGCATTCGCGCCGTCGCTGATTCGCTCGTTAAGACCCCAGCCCGCGCCGAGAGCGCGAAAAGCAACCCTCCGCTTCATGGCGCGACTTTATTGGTTTTGACCTGCTGTGACGCCCCAGTGGAATACAACCAACCTGCCCAACGGTATGTATATTGCACATTTCTGAGCCTGCGTTCCAACGCCCCCCTGTCAACCGAGGCCAGGATGCAGAGCGGCGAGTTCATCACCATCAGGCACATATCTCAGCTTAAAGGCCCCCGTCGCAGTGACAGAACCAACAACAGGCTGCAGCAACCACCAACACGACGGAAACGACTACAAATCAGCGGCTGCAGATGGCAACCGTACCCGAGTTGCTGCAGATTTGGCCCCCGAACCAAGTATCGGCTGCGTTTCGCTGCTCTCGAAATGGAATGCCCGTAAGCACACTGCAAGGGTGTTTACGCTTGTTGGTGCCAGCCTGATGGTGAGAGGTGCCCGGTTCGGGGGGAGACGGGGGGG